AGTCATGCATTACTATTTCAAATTGGACATTTTTTTTTTACAGTTATTTTATCCACAGCATTGCTCCCTAAGACCAGCATAAGGTTTCTCATCAAAGATCATTTGATGCTAGGTCTGCCCTAGCATTTTGCTGCCATGGATATGTTTTATATCCTGTGGAGCTAGGAATGGAAAAGAATTGAGAGATACCATGAACAGTGGTTAGTAATAGATGTATTTAAAAAATCTACCAGAGTTTCTCTGGCTTACCTATTTAGCAGTCAATAAGCAAGTAAAAGAGTGGGAGGACTTAAATAGGAAACCATAGAATGGGTAAAACAGAAAAGACTAAGACCAAAATAATTTTGGGAGTAGCACTAAAAAAAAAAAAAAAAAGGTTGAAGAGGCAAGGTGCTCTAGGTCTGACATATGCTCCTAAAATCAAGCCTGAATATAAGCAGTGATCTTCTCGTAACAACAGAGAAACAAATACAATCTGGAGTTGTGCCTCTGTGAAATTAAACACTGTTGAACATATGATATTAATGAAGAGCCACATCTCTCTCGATGATAACCAGTATTTTCCACCCAAGCAACCAAATGAAGAGTTTTAGACTTTGCTTTATTGAACAGTGATGAGATTATAGGAAATCTGGTAGCAAAAAATGCCTTTGGGTAAAATGCAGACTGTCCCAGTTTGCATTAATAGTAAGATAGATCAAAACAGATCTGTTAATGCGTTTCCATTACAGAAGTGAAAGTTTTGAAAACCTAAAGGGAACCAATTACTTAAGTCAGACAGAGAACTGATGGACTTGATAATTGATAGGGCTTGAAAATTACTGAAAACTGCCCAAACAAGTCATGTAGAGAAATAGTCCAAATCCGAAGAGACTAATTACAGCTTTGGCAGCACATAAGAATAACACAGAGTTTGCAATGAATGGAGAATATGGCTACTCATTTTGAAACTTACAGTGTGCAGGTGTTACATTAAAAATACAAGCCAACAACTGGATAACTATACAGATCAATATCAGCAAGTGTACTTAACCTATACTCAAGAAATCTTGAAAGAATTAACTGAGCAGATTAGGTTAAAAACGCTACAAAATTGTACTAAGCTTTCTTTTTAAAGGGAAGATTAATTAATAATGGGGCACCACAAACATGGGTTTATCGAATGATAGTTTATGACTAACATGATACATTTAGTCAGCTAACTTATCCAAAGCAGGACTGATGTGGCTTAATTTTTGTACGACTCTCACTGGCACACAAAGAATGGGAGCATACAGTAGGTAACAGCTGGAAGACAACCATCAGCATAGCGGAGGTTCAGATCATCCCCCAGAGTATGCCTTACAGTTGCAGTAATAGACTAAGTAAAACAGCAGGAGGTGAAAGGTTATGGGCATTGTGATTCACATCAGTAATTTTTATAAGTTGGTGGCAGGGTTGGAAACATGGTCATAATTTGAAAAATTCCTGTAACTAATAGACCCCAGGACCTCTCTGCTCCTAAATATCTATGATCTATCAAAGTAACGACACTGTGAAAAAAGATGATTACCGTTTTAGAATACATCATGAGAGAAGAAAGTCTCTAGCATTTAATCTAAAAATAAGCGGTTTAAGTTTAACGACCCATGCTCAAAAATATATTTAAATAGAAAAAGTACAGAAAAGGAGATGATAGTTAGAAAGGACACTATTTTAAGCAGGTTAAAGGAACCGTTTTGCCTAGCCCACCAGATAAACGTTCACAGATCATAGAATCATTAAGGTTGGAAAAGACCTCTAAGATCATCAAGTCCAACCGTCAACCCAACACCACCATGCCAACTAAACCATGTCCCTAAGCACCTCAGATGATGCTTACTCTTTTCAAATACATCAAGGATTTGGGATTAAGGGGGAAAATTAACAAAAAAATCCCAAACCAAAACAAGTTATTTAAGAACAAACACAGTGAGCTAGGTACAAATAAATACACAGTGGAAGTTACATTTGTAACCCAAGAGAAATGTGATTCTCTAACAGGCCTCCACTAGGACTTGCCTTTTGCAGCAGACATTTGACTGCTTATCTGCAACAGGAGGCAAATGAGACTTTGTCACCTGAGATCTCCCGTTTTGATTTTTGCATAAAAAGTGCATAAAAGGTTTTTTTTTTTAATACCCAAATTCCTCCAGGAAATCCCAATGCCTACACCAAGAAATTGTCATCTTTTCTGGATTCCCCAGATGTCTCAGCATGCTGTTCCCGTACCGCCTACAGTGCACACACACAGTTTGCTCTATGACACACACTAAGTCTCTGTTGAGAGGCATTACTCTGCAGACAAAATACACATATTAACAGTAAGAAACAAATTATACCATATAACTGTCATAGCCATAAAGCATTCTTACTACCTGAACCCGTTATAGTTTGGGATCTTTCCTCTGAATCTTGATTTCTTCGTTATCACTTTTCTGCAGCCTTTGCTGGTCATTTGATCAAAATCACCATGCTTCGTTAAGCTTCTTTTTAGCTCTACTGAAAAAGTTGTAGCAACAGACATTATTTTCTTTTGTTCCATGCTCAGTCTCTTCAAACACTAGTCATTACCATTTTAAAGGCACCCTTAGAAAAAGAAGTGTGGCACCCAAAAGCTACTCTGTTATGAACAGTATTTTAGTGCTCCTATATACACTTCTTATGATATTTGATGACAAACTAGCATTCGTATAGATTTGAACTATACCAACAGAACCTGACCTTCTGTGAAGCAACGATTCAGTTCATGGACTGACAGATGTTGCAAGCCACATTAAATGCACTGTGCCACAGCAGAAGGGCTCATTTTAGGGGAAAAAAGTAAACTAGAAAACCTCACTGAAGGCAAGCAACTCAGAATACTTACCACTTAACAGCATTAGTTGCAAGGTGAAGTAACCAATACTGGGTTATGCCAGTGCTTTTCATACCCTGCATCTTTAGCCAATGAGGTGGTTGCAACAAAACTGAATGTGAAAACAACTTTCTACTCATGCCTGTCAACAGGGCCACTAATTTAAACATCCGACTGTCATGTTCAAGTTGGTAGAAGCATCCCAACAGCATTCTTCACAGCTCCTACACTACCTTTAGTTACCCAGGCCCCCCCAATGTTAGGCATGACCCTGCGCTCAGACTACAGCTACAAACTGAAAGCTATCAATTCTTTCAAGAGAGCTGGAAATTTGCAGCAATAGCAGAGTCTTGATAAGCTATAGATTATCAATACTTTTTCTGGTCAGAGTTGTAGTTATTGCTGCTGTACTTGTTTTCCAGGATTACCTCCTCATCTGAGCCTGAAGCCTAACAAAATCTGCAGGGCAAGGCACATGTTCCTGCTCAGAGCAACAGTAACGCAGCACACTACGGAGACCTAGTAATAGCAGCTCTTTAGAACAGAGTGCAGAAGCAAAGCAAATAAAATGTTCTCAACTGATCAACCCAAAATACTGAAGATAAAAATTCTGCAGCATGGATTATGGTGACAGTATACACACTGTGAGGCTCACTGGTTGCAATCTATCCCAGGTCATTATTCTGGGAGTAGTCTGAAGAGTATTTAAGAAGACCACATTGCTTAGTAAAGCTATTTTGACATCTACCCAGCTAAAAATGTTAAGCCCAACTTCAGTTTTGAAATCTGGTTTTTCCAACCCTCTATTTTTATAAGTCAAGACAATTAGTGTTTAATGTCAATACCCTGCAATTTGAAGACGCTCTCAGTATCTACCAGTTGTCAAAAGCACTTCAGGAGTTTCACAAAATACACAGCCCAAGACCTTCAGATTTAAGATTTTATTTAGACACATCCAGCATGGTACACAATTGCAGTGATCCTTTTCCCATTGTAGAAGACTTCAACTCTGCAAGAAAAAAAAAAGAATTAACAAATTAAGAATGCTGTGTTATCCTTGAATCTAGAAAAGCTATAAAGATGTGCTAAAATTTTCATGGGGTTTATTTCATCCACCACATGCTTTTGTAGCAGAGGCCTTGACTTACATGAAATCATACAGTTCTTAAATGCTTAAGTTCAGTACAAGCCTCCTCTTTTTTTTTTTTATCCTTAGTCCAGGGAGCCAAAACCATCATATTGGCAAAGGAATTACACAGATGACTTCACAATTGTTCCAATGATAAGATTCCAGTGAGGATTGTTATTTCCTTTCAAGAACTACTTGGGGCATTCCAGCTCCTCAAAAAGATCTATTGTTCCTCAGATTATAGAATTGACAATACCAGATATTTCCAAAGTGGAATCAGATTAAGATAAATTGAAGTGGCCTTTGAACTGGAAATGGCACACTTGCACAGTCTGAACTGGCTTGCTTTGCCTATTAGGATCATCAGCAAACATCAATTAAAATCACTTCTGCTGCTAATCACCTTATTTTAAGTGCACTTTATCCCATAAATGGTTAGGAACATTTTATGTAGACGGTGTGATTGTTTTGACATGGTTGAACTAAGTTCAAGAAATCTTGTTTTCCACTGAGTTTTAACTGGCACATCAGAAAGCGTTTACACTATCACAGTTTCTCATACTGTTTTGTTCACATCACACATGCCAGTTCAGATTACATGAAATATAGCTTTATGTTTCCTCAAAGAAGAAGGCAGACATGGTTTTGGTTATAGTTATTATCCAAATCAAATTAGTAGCACTCTTCTGCCAGTTAGCCCAGCTGCAGACTATCAAGAAGCCGCAGTCAGAGGTGTGGCCTTTGGGGAGTCAAAGTTCCCAAGTCAATGAGAGTGCAGCAGCCCCGTGAAGCAAACTTAAACCTATTTGTTATTTCAGTTTAGATGCAACTGCAGACCACAACTGTAAGCACCTGGACTGCTAAAGGCTGAAAACTGTAATAATGGTTTTAGACGAGGTCTGATTCGTTAAAGCTCAGTTTTGACCACAGATTCCACCATGCTATGAAATCTAACATAATCAGTTACCCAGTTAGCGCAATTAAAGCCTGTCCTCTTCATTTCTTAAGAAGCTGGTGTCTGACTATAACGAAAGGGGCGACAAATCCACTTCCAAAGAATCCACACATTAGTGCGAGTAATCGCCATTTGTTGTCCACAGAAAAGGGAAGGTTCTAGAAAAGAAAAACGAATTTTAGTTTTGTAATCAATACCGTAATCACTTCCTCATTGACTTGCAAATGGTGAGAAGCTCAGAGCACTAACAGGTGGAGTCAAACTGACAAGATAAACATTCAGTCTCAAAACACTTTCCCTTCCTCTCAAGGAAAGAAAGGCAATAATCAGAATAATAGTTTGGATGTAACCTCTGGAGGTCATTTTGTCCACTCTTCCCCTCTCCCCTCAGTTCAAAGCAGGGCCAGTTTGTTGAAGGCCTCGTCCAGTCAAGTATAAATGTCCCTGTAGATACAGGCCCCACAGCCTCTCCAGGCAACCTGTTCTGACATTTAAGTACCTTCATTGTGAAGATTTTCCTCATGTTCATTAGGTATGTAAAATTAATTTTTAGATGTAGGACTTAGGAGAACACGTTAAGCACAAGGTACATCAGAAAGCGTTTACAGTATCATTGTTGCCCCTCATACTGCAATGCTCATCATCTGTACCACTGAAGCAGAAGGTTGTAGGGAAGGACACAGAAGTCACTCGCACCAGTTTGCTTTGCTGAAGCCGTTACAGCGGTACCACGAGACTCCAAAGCCCACCTGGAGAACTGGCAACAGGGCAGTCATTACTCTGCTCCTCACAACGGCACCCAGTTCGCTGGGACCTTAGAACCCGATGATGTGCAAAACCCTTCACGGGGGCTCATGGAGTGAGGAGCTCACCTTGAGCCTGCGCCTCATCCCGCTGCCTTCGGCGAGCCAGGGTAGGCCTGCACTGCGGTTCCAACGACACCCTTACGCTTACCGTCTCTCCAGTAACTCCCAACTTCCCCCCGGTCGCTCGCC